GCTCCTTCTCGTGCCTTTGCAGGGGGGACACAGCGTTGTCACCGGGCACCTTCCCCTTGCGCAGAGCCTGTCTGGCTGTGGGTCACCCCGAGAGCTGCGCAGACAGCCGGCAGCCCCCCAGCCAGGGCAGGGAGGTGGCCGTGTCCCCCCCACCCTGCACTGCCATCACACCCCTCTGCCATCACCCTCCTCCCCCAGGACCTTGCTTTTTCCTTGCTTTTTCCTTGCTTTTTTTTTTTTTTTTCCCCTTAATAAGAAGTGTTTTGAGGCTGGAATAAATCTTCCCGAGTCATGAGCTCAGCAGACCTGGCGCGGGCATTTTTGGGGTAGCTCAAATGCCGAGCTCCACGTCGACCCGTGGCTCTCGGAGGATGAGGGTGTTCATGCGGTTCGTGGTACCGTGTGTGGGGCTTCCCTGCGAGCACGGCGCAAAAACCTGGTGAAAACCCATCGAGAGGCTGGAGGGAGCCAAGAGCTCTTGGGGAGGAGCAGCACCAGGTGCCTGCAGGCCGGTGTCCCCTCTCTGCTCGACACCAGCAGCGCTGTAAGGTCAGCGATGGTGTTGCACCAACATCAACCCCACAGCAGCCAATTTTATCCGGAGGGTGCCTGGGCTGGATTCACCCCTGGAGATGTTCAGGCTGCTCATGGTGGTGACCCTTGATTTCTTCCCACAGGTATCAGACGAGGGTTTGTTCCGCGGTGCTGGAGCTGTCGGCTCTGCCTGGCAGGTACGTGACAGGGACTTACCCATTTCCAGCCCGTTGCTGCTGTAAACTGTAACTCTTCTCAAAAATATCCCTATTTTTCGTTAAAAACGACTTAAGTTTCCTTTGTCTTTTTGTTTTAGGAAAAATGTCACACGGTTTCTCTGTAAGTATGGCTTTCTTTAAAAAAAAGCAGCGGCTACGATTGTTTAATTACCTTGAAGCGGGGACCTTAGGTGGGGGTTGGAAGGGCGCCTTCGCTAACCCACAAAATCCCCAAATCCCATCCCCCCAGTTACATTGGCTTTTACTGGTTTTCTGGAAACCTCAGCCCAGGCACTCAACCCCCCGCCGCCGCTGGGGAGCCGCTGAGCTCCTGCCCTCGGCGCAGGCCGTAGGCTACAAAAGCTGGGTGTTGGGGGACTCCCCCTGACCCCAGGGTTCATGTCACCCGCCTAACCCTCCTCCTCTCCCCTCTGTCCCCAGTTACCCGACGCTTTGCCCAACTGCAACAACCCGAACCCCTCTGGCCCTCCACCCCACGGCTGGCCCTCCTGCGGGAACCAGCCGCCGGCTCCTGGGGGGTTCCCGACGTACCCCGGCTTGCCGGGCACCTATCCTGGAGCACCGGGGCCATATCCAGGAGGACCAGGGCCATATCCAGGAGGACCAGGGCCGCATCCTGCCCCAGGACAACCACCCAGTGGCCCTGGATTTGGGCCCCCTCCTCCGCATGGGGGGCCAGCTCCTCCGATGGTAACGTCTCCATCGCATTATATGGGGTTCTGTGTCTTCACTCTCCGCTTTCGCTTGGTCATGGGAGGAACCTGGGGCTGGCTGTCCCGAGGGGGGGGTGGCACGGGTTGTCACTGTGTCATGGGCCGTCACTGGTGCGTCGTCACACCGAGAGCCAGCCGGGGCCCCAGCATTTGGCTTTGGACCTGGTTTTCTGCTAACACCAAATCCCCGTTGTCTCCCAGAAACTCCCCTTCGAGCTGCCCCTGCAGGCAGGACTCCTCCCTCGGCTGCTCATAACCATCACAGGGACCGTCAACCACAACCCAACCAGGTACAGGGGGTGTCCAGCATGGAGGGGTTTCCATGGGGTGCTGCTGGGTGGAGCAGGGGGGGCTGGGATTTGCGTTCTGTTCCTGAGTGACACCTGCCTGGCGTAAAATCAAATTTTACACGAAGTAAACGCGTAAATGCCCTCTCCCTGCCTAACACGGCCCGTGGGTTTTTTCTGCCCGCTTGCTGCCACCTTTGGCAAGCCCCGCGACAGCGCCCCGGGGCTTTCGCAGGAAAAGCGGCGAATCCGTTACTGTCTTTGTAGGTTTTCACTGGATTTCAAGAGGGGGAACGACATTGCCTTCCACTTCAATCCCCGCTTCAAGGAAGAATGCAAGGAAGTCATCGTCTGCAATTCGATGTTCCGTAATCACTGGGGAAAGGAGGAGAGGACGGCTCCTGGGTTTCCATTTGAAGCTGGAAAACCCTTCAAGGTAACCAAAAAAAAAAAAATAATCCCCAAAACTCAATCTTAACGTGCCAAAAGCACCTGCACTGTGTGCAGGGAGGGGTTGGTCAGGGCTGTGGAACAAGACTCACTGCAAGACCTTGATGCTTTTGCACAGGAATCAGCTCCCAGAGGTGCTTTTGGGGCAGTTGCTTGATGTTCTTCCCTGGCTGCCCAGCAGAGCAGGTCTATGGCACCTTCCCTGCGCTTCTTTCCACCTCCTGCAGGTTCAGGGGCCCAGGGTATAACCTCTCCCCACTTCTGTTATTCCCATTTATTATTAAATCCTCCTTATTTGCGCTGTTATGCTGCAGCAGTTGTGGGGCAGGCTTCTGTAGAGCATTTTCCAAGCTCTCTTCACGAGCTTTTTCTCCTGCAGAATAGGACCTCACTCGGTGAGAACGCAGCTCGCGCTGCGTGAACCGTAGAGGGCTGCTCCAAAACACCGTCATGGTCACGGGGAGACAGAAACCGTGGCCTAAAAGATGAAGGAGGAAAAATCACAGAAGGGCTTCGGGGAAGGCAAAGGTCACTGGTGCTTTTGCAGCTGAGTTGCTGCACCAGCTCGTCCACATGCCACCGGGCTGGACTCAGCTGGCAGCAGCCTTCAGCCAGCGCCAGCCTGCTCGAGCCCACGGCTTAAAGCTTCTTCCTACAACAAGTCCAACGGCGATCTTTGGGCTGATTTGGGGTTTTTATTTCAGCTCCAGATCCTTTGCGAGGCGGATCACTTCAAGGTGGCGGTCAACGGCGCCCACTTGCTGCAGTTCAGCTTCCGTGAGAAGAAGCTGAACGAGATCACCAAGCTCTGCATCGCTGGGGACATCACCCTCACCAGCGTCGTGCCGACCATGATCTAAATGCCGGGGTGTAACTTTAAGGCAAACTTAGTGCTCTTAATAGGGCTGTAACAAAAGTGCCTTCATAGCTGAATACTTTGAGGTAATAAAATACTTTCACAAGTAAAGTTTGATTTCAATAATACATCAAAGACACAATATCCTCCAGCAAGCCGAGTTCAAACGTGGAAGTGTCTGAATTCTTGCTGTAGAGACAGAATCTCTTTGACAAAGGATGATGACTGGGAGCCGTTTGACTTGCAGGGAGGGGAGCCCTGGGGAACGCAGCCTGCAGCTCGCTGCCACTGGTCCTGTGAACTCAGGCAGCCACCTTCCACCCCATCTTCTCCACATACCAGTCAGGAACGCGGTAGTTTTAGCTTCTGCTAGGTAAAGCAGTTATTCCTTTTTCACTAAAGGAATCAAAACTGCACAGCAAAGGACTGAAGTTCCCCCCTGCCCTGAGGGAGGAGGAGGTGCACGAGCAGGCTGTGAGGCACAGAAGTGTCACCTCATTGAAGATGTCCACGAGGAAACAACGGAAAACTGGGGAAACTCATAAGCCTCTGATCCCGACTAGAACGAGGTATTTCAGAGCTGGAGGAGGCAAAATCTCTCCCCTAGACTGTGGCTAGGAAAAAAGTGACCCCTCTGCTTCGCCTCAAAGGCCCATTCTGCCCACGTGGTGGCCCAAATCAGCGTGTCCTGAACGCGCTTCCCTCCCAAGGCAGGTCCAATCTATACCAGCGTTACGTCCTCCACGGAACGGGTCACGAGCCTTGTGCTTCTCTCCCCTCATCACTTCTGTGGGAGTCAAGACCGGTTTCAAGGGTGGGGAGGTTTATTGGCAAGTTCAGCTCATGAGTCAGGCTGGTTTAAAAAAAAAAAAAAAAAAAAAGCCTGTTCCCGTCGCTGTGAATCACTCTCCTGGTCTCCTCTGCAGAACAAGAACAGAGCAACAGCCACCACTGAAGTTTTCAAGGACCAGTTCAACATGTCTCCTATTTTTATAAGAGTTGCTCCCTTTATAGTTGCAGAGGCCACGTTACAAGCAGCACAGCGTTGCAATTCCAGCAGATGCAGGAGCCTTTACACCAGTTTAAGCATTTACGTCGGATGTTAGAAATCCCTCTCTTCATTGCAGCGCTGATGACTGGACGGAGCAGACAGTCAGCCATTAAGAGCCACCTGGTTGAAACTATCCGTATCACTGGAATTTAGTAACGGAGAAAGTTGTTTCTGGCACAGTAACACCAAGTCACAACAGCTTCCTCTTGTTTATTTCAGTGCAATCGGTACACGGCTTCCCGGTTAAAACTTCAGTCAGACAAGCTCCCCCCCAGCCTTCTGCTGAGGGATCTGAATTACCTGTGCTTGGGTTAAAACAAAGCCTTGTGGAAGGAGGTGTGTATTACACCAAGGTCACCATTACAAGAAGCAGCCCAGTCAGGTATTTGTTAAAAATACAGCAACTGGAGGTACTCCAACACCACTACTCAAATGTAGAGTATATATAACTGGCATAAATATATCACAGTCCAGATAAGAGAAAGCATAAGGAACACAGTGCCAGAAGAGGCTGAAGTTAACACGTCACACGTTCAGAGAAAGAGGTTTAGAGGCTTTCACATGAAAATGCAAAGGGAGAATAGGCTCGAAGGTGCTTAAGATACTCAATAGATAACTGTGTCCTTAAAGGAAATAATAATCAATGCCTATTTGAACACATTGCCAGGAAAAGAGGTTACCTGGCTTTGAAATCCTTGTTCTGAGATGGTTCCTACTATTACAAAGCAAATGGTTGTTCAACACAAGGAAGAGTCCCCCAGGAAAGCGTTCCGTGCATCAAACCCTGCCCCAGGCTGCTGGTCAGGCAGAGGTGTCAGTGCACGGGATACCCGAGCCTAAGGGCGCACAGGCACCCTCACAAGAGTCGTTGGGTACGAAACAGTGCTTTGGGGGAGGCAACGGGCCGAGTCTGACCCCCAGAAGGTGCCCTCGCATCAGAAACAGGGCACAGGTACAGCTAGTCTGGTAGGCATCTTACCATAATAACTCATGAGACAAATAAGGTCAGGACAGAAGAGCTTAAAGATGAACAGTTTTACAACTTGAAGTAGACAGGAAATACATGAAATTATACAAAATAAAAATATTTCCAGCTGTAGTTAGAATAGGCAATCATTGGGTAGAGCAGGTATAACCAAACACCCCGCTACCAACACACAGCGGTACTTCCAGTGCATAACTGCACCATAAAACGTTACAAAATATTTTAATAAGTTCCACGACAAAATACTGCAGGTTATTCATCCTCCCAAAACACAGTTCAAGGGTAGCTGACTGTATTCCAGATACCCTCTTTTTTTTTGTTGTTGTTAATATAATTTACACATTTTGAATTTCAAGTCACTCTTCATTTTTCCCCAGAGGGAGAAAGAGGAGAAAACACAATAAGGTCACTGAACGCTTCAGCTGCTGCAAACTTCTGGGCTTGGCTCTTGACTGGGGTGAAGGGAAGCTCAGCGTCCAGCATGGGCTGTGGGAGCAATCAGAGTGGGAAGTAAGTGGCTGAGGAACAGTCACCTCCTCTGCAAACCATCACTGCAACGACACACAAAACACACCACCAGCGAATTCCCTTTTCGCCAGTGACACCCGGGTAAACACCAAGTACTGGCGGGCAACTGCGCGCGTACACGAGGTGCCTGCCCGCTTCAGAGGCCACCTAAACATCGTGGGACAAAAACGAGCTGGAAATGCTTTTGAGAAGGGAACAGGAGCAGCACCCTGTTCTCTTGCCTCTCTCGGTACTGTGGACACATCACAGCTTCAGAAGAAGCGACTGTCAGAGCTGAAACCTGCAGCGATTCAGTAGATACAAGCCCACTGAAACGTGCTCGCTGATGTACGACACCGTCTCAAACCAGCAGCCACAGGTCGAAATCCTGTAAGGACCATGACTTTCCTAACAGAAATTTTGCAAGTTTATTTCCAGACATAAAGTAAGCAGGGAACATGTGGTCCGTTTCGAAGACGCTCATTACTTAAAATCAGTAATTCATATTTTAAAGAGGTTTTTTCACAAGACCCAAGGAACTCTACCCCCAAATTCCTTCAACAATTTGAAAGTTTTAGCACGCCTGCTTTTCCCTGGAGAGTCTTACTTCCCAGCTCTAAAAGTTAAAGCTATAAAAAATGGGACAGTCTTGAAAAATTCCAAGGAGAAAGTGGAGGAAAAAGGCCAGGTGTCCATTCTGTTAATAAATATTTACAAGGAAATGCGCAGGAAGTGTAATTTAAAGGATCAATTTGATAAAAACCAGACATTCTCCTGTTACAAATGTCTCGATTCCTCCTACACTAATCGTGTGCAACAAGGGATAACGGCGTGAGCCCGAGCAGGGGCACAGGAACTGTGGCTTGTGTTTAGAGTAAGTTACGTGAATTGGCTTGATAACACCTTACAGAGCTTAATTTACTTCGTGCAGCAGCTGATTCTGCAGGAAAGGTTACATGTAGATTGCCTTAGCCAAGTACCCCTGAAGGGCAGCTTACCATATCAAAAGGATTTCTGTCAACGGGTGCCAAATCGCTAAATGAAACACCTGAAAAATAAGAATATTTCATTTTTTCACAAAAAAGCTGAACACACAGCATTGTTTTCTGCATTTACTGAAAAAAAAAACCCTCCCAACCCTCAACTGTCTGTATTTACTTCAAGCCTTTCTTATTAGCCCTCTCCTTCACGTATCACACGGACACTCCACACAAAAACCCAGGGGCACTGTTCGCTCAGGCACCACACGTGTAGGTCGTGCAGGAGGTTTTGCTCACAGCGTATACACAGATCAACCAAGCTACAGCGACAGCAATTTCCAAGAGAAACGTTGAGGCTACCCTAAAACTTCAGAACAAACATAAGGCCCCAGCAACACCACACAAGCAGCTTTAAGTCACGCACCTGGTTGGAGTAGTTTTGGTTCTCCAGACCGAGCAAAGCCAGTCTCTGTGCCGGTCCCCTTCTCCGGGCTGCACATGACAATATCTTGCACTTGTTCTGCAGCAGATAATTCCATCTCTTCTGCGCCATCCCTTACTTTGAATTCACTGCTAGAATTTTCCAGCACCTGGAAAAAAAGGAATTTTCACTGTTCCTAGCCCTCCGAGAGGCCAAGATGTCTGGAGCAGCCGTATTTGCTTCTCAGAGAGCCAAAAGGAACGCATCAGTGAAATCAGGCAGATGTGAGGCAGTACCTATGACACCAAGAAGCTTTCTTAATTTTCTTTTTGTCTGCAGTAAAAGGAAGTTTGTCAGGGTGTGAGTTTACAGAAACCAGCATGTCCCTGCTAGGTCAAACCAAGCCCAGGCACCCAATGCGCAGGTTTTATGGACAACTGAGGAGAGACAGGGTTTTAACTCCAGCCACCATACAAGGGACAGGCAGGACACGGCTTGCAGCTTAACACTGTGATCCATTTCCCATGAACTATTTCCCAAACACCCCTGTAAGCCTGGTAACCTCTTTGAGGGTATAAAGGAAGTTCTTCCACACGAAAGGAGGTTTTTGAGTGCCAAAAACGTTCCGACGATGTTCTCTAATGAGTCTTCCCTGCAAGGAAAACCTATCAGCAATACTGAAAGTTAAAGATTACCACAGTTTTCCCCAGAGGGCGACGTCACCACCAAGCGATCTCTCACTTGATAGGGAAAGGATGAAGTAAAAGGCATAAGAACAAATTAGTAACCAAGGCTATTTTTTTTAAGGCTACTCAAACGTAGGCAAGTCACCGAGTCCTCAGACATTTCAGGGCACGGATTTCTGAGCTCTGATACTATACACTGCTCCTGCTATACCTTTAAACAATATAATAGCATAATGCTCTGTGTCGGCAGCATGAGGACCCAGAGGGCTAAATACTACTGTGGCCTTTAGCCTTGGTCCCCAAATGCAAAAGCATCTAAAAATTAAAAAAAAAAGAAAAAAAAAAGTCACACTAGAAAACAGGTAGTGGACTTCAAGGACCACTGCCTGCCCGAGCAACAAGTGTCACCATACAGCAGCCACCAAAAGATAGCCCCCAAAGTGCCAGGCAAGGACCCCAAATGGCAGCAGTCCCTGTCCGTGTCCATACTGAGAAGGAAAAAGCACCAGCCTGAGCATAGAGAAGAAATCTTGATGAGGATTTGATCAGAACGCCAAGTGTCTGGGGCTAATAAAAAGAACTTTTTTTTGTCTACTAACAATCAAATATATAAAGCACACAGGTGAACTATGCATGACTTACCTCAGTTCCCTCTGCTGTGCCAGCAACGGGACAGAGCTCTTCTGCAACTAGGGAAATGCTGAAAGAGAAACCAAAATGTTTCCTCAATCGCCTTCATCAACCACCTTCAATCGTCTTTGGAATCACCCAACTGGTCTTACAATTTGTTCTGCAATTACACTTGCTTGTTTGGCCCTGGTCAGCCACATCAAATTCTCTAGGCAAAAATAAACTTCTATCCCAGCAGTGAAATTACATTTGGGGAAAGCTCTTAGTATTGGCTTGAGGGAAGGAAAAGACACAAGGACCTTGCAAACTTTATGACTGTCAAATTGAAAGGTAACACTTAATGGGTATTAATATTAATTCTTCCAGTTAAAACAATACAATTATTTGTACAAAGTTCATTAAAAGCTGCCTTAACGTGTCTACCTTTGTTCAAGAAAACCACCAGGGAGTTTTTCCAGTGGGGAAGTTTCTCCAGCGGGAAATTGGTGCATTTTCAAATGTTGTGCTGGGTGGAAGCCTTGGAGCACTGGTGTGGGTTGTTTTGCAGTTGTGTCCTCAGGGTCACAAAGAACCGAGGGAAGGCTCTGAAGCAAAGCTCTGCTGGATGACCTCGGAGTTGCCAGTCTTTCAGAGGTCCGCTGGGAGGATCGGCGAGGTGTCTTTGCAAGCAAGCCTGGAAAAGTGTGTTTAATGTGTCATTACTACAGCAGTTTCCAGAAGATTAGATGAACCGTTTGCTTGGCTTCTAGCTAGTAACATCGTTTTTTCCTGCTTGCTCAATTGTCTTGTACAAATGTTTTATTGAAATCTTATACACGCTGCAAGGAGGCATTGAGAGGAGGTGACAAGAGCAGGTTGGTAAGTTACCAAACTACCTTAACTCCAGCTAAGCGACTTAGGAACGACTATCCCTTCCCCACGACCCTGAGATAATGAGCCTTGCTGTTCTTATTAAAAAGTCCAGCTGGTGAGAGTGTCATTGATTTCCACCTTTCACATTAGATCACTTTAATAGAATTAAAGAGACACCGATTCAGAAGTGATTCTTACAACAGATTGTCTGCTAGAGCTTGCTCAAAGCTGTTCAGAAGGTCTCCTCTACTGACAAGAGGCATATGAAAAAAAAAATCGCTAGTCTTGTGATGAGGAAAAAGACACAAAAAAATAAATGACAAAAAGTCAAAGTCAAGTTACGAACTAGAAACGGGAGAGAGGCAGAATGGCTCCAAAAAAAAAAAAGCAAGGATTACTGCAAATACTGGCTTCACAGATAGCAGTAAGATAGATACTGAAGATAAAGTTGTATTTTGAGCACCTGCTCACAAAACCCTATTAAACAGCTTTTGTAACAGCCCAGAATATGCTACAATCTCATTGAACACGAATACAGATTATGGGTATACTTTACTTGCAGCTTTGAGGTCAGCACTGCAAGAGATTTAGTTAAAAAAAAAATCCAATTCCTGTCTTACAGCTGGAGGACATTAGCCTGCATTGCCTTGGGTGGACGGGTTCGTCAGCTAAGTCTGGGAACACTCAGGTTAAAACTTCATTGTTAAACACACACCGAAAAACCACGGACCAGCTGCTTCTACCTCTCTGTCTAAGCAGAGATTTCATGTTGCCATAATCACTCAGATCAGTACATTCACGTAGAACACTTTGGATCCCTGACGTAATTCACCACTAGCTGAACTATTAATTATGTCCAGTACTGGAGTTGTACCCAGTCTAAACAGTGCAATTCCTCTCCCCAGTGAGACTGGTTAAACTCTCTTCAGTACTTTCAGGTCACAGAAATCACGGTTAAGCTTCACCCACCTGGAAAGGTTTTAACAGGGCTTTCAATTCTGAAAAATCCCGCTTCAAAAACCACCGTTTCTACTTGTGGTGGTTTCTCCTGATGGGTGCAATCAACTGCGTCGTCATGTTTCATTTTATCCCTCATAGCTGCTTTCACAGCAGCAAGCCGGTTTCGGGCAGCAGCTGTTGCAGCTGCTCCCAGCTTTGGTTTAGACACTCCATTTGGAACAGTCTTCTTCTGAAATGGTAAGAAAGTCTGGGTCACGCCTGGAAGCTTTGGACAGAAGCAATTGCACGTGAACATGCACGGAACTGCTGGCCACACACAGAGACCACAACAGGCAAGAGACATGCTGGAGACAAGGTCTCCGTTCGCCTCCAGAATCTCTCAGACTGCCAGTCAGCTGTTAAGGATTTTCCCTATCTGCAGTTCAGAAATCCTCAGTCCAACTTTTTTCTAACAACTCCAGTTCAGGTTTTTGAAAACCGTGGGATACAGGGACTCCTAGTGGCAGGGAGACAGAGCAACCGCAGGACAGACACCAGCCGGCCAGTGAAGGCTCTCCTGGCATTCAATTCTACAAAGTTTTGTGCCTTGTACCACCTGGAGGGTTCTGCCATTTGACCTGCTCTGGGCGAACCTGCTCTAGCAGGGGGGTTGGACTAGGTGACCTCCGGAGGTCCCTTCCAACCTCTGCCACCCTGTGACTCTGCTTGAGGGGCAGCTCACACCGACGACATTCCTTTGTTTCCCGTGCCTGGAGTTTCTTATCGACCCTCATATCATGTTCATGATTAGCTGAGCAGTCTCAAGGAACTGAACGGAGTTTAGGCAACGTGAATGTGACCTGATGCTCAGTCACTAGAAGAAATGATGTATTCCAAACCAAAGAGTAGATACAATAGCTTACATTGAAGCTTATTTTGCAACAAGCAGTAACTTATTTTGGACAGTGTCAGATCCGTTTGTGCTCAGAGAACTAATGGTTTAATGCTACCCATTGTCCTGTCTTTATGGGACATCAGTCTAATTCAGCACTCGCTGCTCAAAACTGGCAGCCACTGCCAAATTCCTGTGTGGTTGCCTTTTCAGTTAAGTCAGTGCCAACACCAGCGGCCCAGATAGAGCGTTTATCTGAAGGGTAAATTCCTATTCTAAATTCAACGGATTTGTCTTGCTAGCAAAGACTCCCGTGACTCCAACAGACTCACTGTTAATTCTTAGTTCTAATCTTCCCTGCCAAGGGAGGCACCTGGCATTACAAACACCAACTAATACAAGTGTGCTTGGGAGATGCAAGGCAGAAGGGTACATCCTGAGAGGAATTTCACTGAATTTTTAAGCACTAACATCTAAAGAATCCAGATGAGTAGGCCTTTAGAAGGAACTTCCATTTAAGAAGAGTACTCATTACTGCAATAGCAGCTTACTTTTTATTTTAGATAACACACTGTTGCATCTTGATGCCTGAGAAGACCTGCTTTAGGGGCTATTCATACCTTGACAATTGCTTTGCTTGGGACATCAAGTGGTTGCCACTCATTGTCTTGAAGCTTCTTCAGATTATCAAATTTTTTATTCACATCTTCAATCTATTGGAAAGCCCACAAAAATCCAGGTTTAATTTTCGAGACTTAGGAGATTCGCGATAGAACAGTGTCTCATAAAACCAGATAACAAATTTAAGCACAGTTAGGCATTTAGGTACTTTTGCTTTAAATACACCAGCAAATTAGAACACCAACGAAGGCAAAGCCTTAAATGCTGTCATACAGTTAACACGAAGGGTCTGTTAACGCACACAAACTTCAGATTAGAGGACAAGTCTGGTCTCATTTCTGTAGCTTAGAAGTTAGTAGGGGAAGGATAGAGCTGTTCAGTAAGATCTAAAATGAAGGAGCTGGTTCGCAACCTGTTCTCGTACTGAACTCCAGCACTTTGACAACGGTTGCATTTAAAGAACGCAGACGAACACATCCTTCCTGAAACTCAGGGGACACAAACAAAAAGCAAGTGCAAAAAGGGACGGAGTTAGCAATGCTGTTACTTGGTTGCATTTAAAGAACGCAGAACAACACCTTGAGGAAGAGTCTTTATCCAACCAAGCACCGTGAGGTAGGAAACACGCCATGCAAGACTATCTGCTCTTTCGAGCTGCTGGCCTGAACAGCCTCCTGAGGCAGTACATCCTTGCTCGTAACGAGCTCGCTCTGCAGCGTGACCTCCTCCCCGACTGACAGGCAACACCACAGCCTTGTTCTCCTTAGGCTTTGCAGGGGAGACCCTTGCCCCGTTGGCTGGTAAGGCCATACAAGGCTTATCGACCTATAGCAGACCAGTCACCGAAGTGACAAGTCCTTGACATCCTTCCTGAAACTCAGGGAACACAAACAAAAAGCACGTCCAAAAAGGGACGGAGTTAGCAATGCTGTTACTCTGAGTTTACCAAAGGGAAAAGGTGGGGAGGCTCAGGAGAAACTTGAGCTGCTCCCAGATACAAGAGGTAAATGCTGGTTTGAGTTACTGGTTCTAGCCAAGTCCACCTCAAACATCTCTGAAGAAGCAGATCAAACCCTTACGCTTTCTGGAAGGAATTAAAGAGCTAGACTAGAACCTTAACAATAAATCCATCTTTGCATTTAATTTAACTAGCCACAAGTTCCTTTGTTGAATCCTGACCTACAAATACTGTCGAGAACCCTTTTGATAATTTAGAACATTGTATTTCATGCTGAAACCAATGGAAGCATCCACAGAGAAAGAGAGATGAAGGTTTTCTACCACCTAAGCTCACTCCTAAATCAGGTTATTCTAGTTTCTGCATTATTCTCATACTGAAGCACGGAACCCCTACTTCTCAAGGGAGCTCCAGGATTTTCCAAGAGCTCACAGCTTTTGGTCCAGGTAGATGTTGTGACCGCATCCTTACTCCAAACCAGAATAAGACTTGGCTACATGGCTTCATTCCAGAGAAAAACAAGATACAGAGGCCCCAAAAAGACACAACAAACTGGTCCACGAATTATAAATCACAGCACACCAACTGGTTTTATTCACTTTCAGAAAGTGTTAAACAAGGACCTGCATTTTTCACATTAAAAAAAAAAAAATCAGAATCTGACCATTCAAAAGTAGTTTCAATCCATTGTTCATAAACAGCCCCATCAACGTTATTCGAGTAGGTTAACATGCAAGTACATACCTGAAAATGAACCATATCCCAAAATCCATCTAAGTCCATGCACGTTGTTTCTTTTTCACCTCGTTTAAATTCACAATTATCCACCAGTCCCTCAAACTGTTTAAACCTTTCTGCTATGAGCAGCCTTGTCTGACCAACTGTGGTGCGAATGAGATCTTTAGCTGATAGGAAGAAGAAAACGATAAAGAAAGTACATCTTGGCGTAATCCATCATTCCACAATTGATTTAAATAAGTGTTTGAAGAGCTGGGAATTTGTTTACTGTTTGCACTATGCTCATCCATCGCAATACAGTTCAGACGGAGCACACCTACCCACTGAACGGCTCTAAACTTGCTTCTTCCAAAAAAAATGTTACAATCTCTAAGTCTTTAGGATAAGCATTGATGAGCCACCTTCATTTTTGAAGATAAGGACACTTATTCTACATTAAAACCTAATTTTATTTAAAAAAACCCCAATCACTTGGCTGAAGTTCATACATTTAAAATACACTTAAAACTAACAACACAAAACCTCTTTCGATACGCACTTGGCTCACTTTAGCATCAACCACTCTCATGTCAAGTATTACACACAAGTTTTAGTGTTGGGGGCTAAAGCACGACTTTTTGTCTTGAGGCAGGTACAGCTCTCAACTTTATCTAACATCACTTTTACCAAGCACTGTAGACAGTGCTATTATGCAAAAATATCCAGATACAGGTACTTGCCTCTGTCCCCTTCAGTTACCATAACACCCCTCCTAGTGCCTGTTCCAGTTTAGTCTTACCATCCTCTGGAATGTCCAGCTCAAATTTTCCATCCCACTGGAGGCACTGAGACATCAGCCTCTCTGTCTCAGATCGAAGAATGTTTCTAAAAATAAAGGGGTAGTGAAAAAATGAGGTTTTGGAGATTTTTCTAACGGCTCTCGCTACTTGTGACTGCTAACGGTTACTATCCTTTTGCTTTCAGAGAAGCTACAGCGCCTGTGAGCAGAAGCCAGGAGATGGTTTTAGTTTGCTGACTGGCTGAGATTTCTTTTTTGTTGCTTTCAAGCCTGTGTTCCTCAGGACAAGGTGTTAGTCTCCAGAATATGATATCCTTGGCTCACACTAACAACAGGGAAGATAGAAGCGTGTGCCTAACTCAGGTCACTGCTGACAGACACCAACCACCACAAGCTGATCTTTCCAAGATGTCTCGTCACCCATGCGAAGGGCCTCAGAACAGACCACAGGCAAGCGAAACCGATGAACACAAACCTGAAATAGGGCACATCATGCTCTTGCTCTCTTATATCATCTGACTTCGTTCCAAGTGCTGTTGTATCTGTAGAGACAGGAATTGTTTCATTTGATCTCTGAATGGAAGTTTTCTCACTTGCGTCACTTGCTGAAAAATATGGAAGGCATTTGTTCAGAATCTGGTGAAAACTAAAAACATGAGGACAATAAACTAAATGTGAACTTCCTACCTGTTTCTTCTTTCAAACTTGTAGTGGTTTGCTGTTCTTGAAGGCCTTCACCTGCAGGTGAAACTCGACTTCTTAAATCAAGCTCTCGTGCCTTAGTTTCACTGGATTTTTCAATTATATTACTGGAAACAAACACAAAGTACATTTAGAGTTAAGACACAACATCAAATATGGCCAAACACATAGAAATGAACAATTTAGAAGGCAATTCTAGAGAACTCAAGCAAATCCTTTTAAAACGAATAAATCACTGCACAGAAATATAGGGCACAGTCCCAGATATACAGAGCTGCTCTACTTCTAAAGCACAGACAGAATTACAGATCATCGCTGTCTTTGCTGTGGTATTAAGTCCACATTTCAGCGATGACAGCACCATGATGATCAGGTCTTTCAACATCACAATCACACAAGGAATCTCTCTATAGAAAGATGATGTTTCCTGCATCATCACAAACGGTTCACTTGCATTTTAGGCCATTAGAAGAAAGAAGCTTACGCTGGAGATTTCGAGAAATCCCAGAAGGCATTGGGTGTCAAAAACGCATTTGCCCTAGAAGGAGTCATGGGTGTAACTTTGTAGCTCACTAAGCCATTTAACGGCTGAAACACAAAGTTTTGAGGTGCAAAAGAGCATGTTCTGGGCCTCCCTGGAGGAGAATCGGTTTGGTTTTCCACTGAGGTCAGCTCCTGTCCAAGTTCCACTGACGCTGAATGTTTAGAATCAGCTGCAGAACCTTTCACTGCTGGATCCCGTTGAGCGTTTTTATCCACCTCGCGTTTAGAAGGAATGACCTACAACAGCACAAATAGACAAAGTGAACACGACACGATCGAGTCAATGAAGTGTTTACTACAGGCATGGGCTGAATTGTAACCTGACTGTCCGAAAGCCACTCGTTTCAGGTAAGGGGCTTTCTACAACAGCATACGTCTACAGAAGTCGCGATTTACCAATAGGCCCGACTGGTTTTGATGCCTGCAAATCGTTCTAGCAACAGGGATAGCACTTCACTACGAGGAATGCAACAATCCACCCAAGGGGCCGAAGTAGCAGAGCACCTCACCTACCAAAACAGTAATTAAAATCAGCAAATGCTTGCTCCCACTGCTAGAAAAAAATGCTTTAAGGTGATAAGCTCCTCAAGAGCAGAATTGCTGGCTCCAAATCCAACTAGGCTTGTTGAATCATCACAGTTTATACACATATTCTAATCCAAAGACCAAAGAGCAAGGTAAAATAAGCTGACAGGTGAGGAATGCAGCCCAAGACAAGCGCAGTCAGGACCACAGAATGTCATTAAAAGAGGAGAGACAGTTAATCAGTAAGTTGAATCCACATTCCTACGAGATGAGTGACCAGATAGTCATACAGAACACATTTCTGAGGTACCTATATCGAGATACTGTTAGCTCAAACCAGCCAGAAGAGCTTAGATTGTTTTCCAAGAAAACACGCATCTTCAGGCCACTGAAAGTCTTGTTATACTTTAGATACCCCTGCTTGGAATGCAAGCCTTGAATTCAACTTTTAAGACACTTCTTGTAACGAGGTGACTGAGGTTACAGCAAGCGTTTGCCAACTGGCAGTGCGAAACAAGTCCTGCCTGTAAAGAGGTGCTTATCTAAGCGAAGATACCAGTGCCCCTCACCTCCCGTCAGTGGTGGTGCGTGACTGCACCACTTTCAAGACAATACTAGAGCACAGCTGCAGTTGTGGAAACAGGAGCGGAGATGGGAGGCGTGAGGGAGGCACGAGGTGACAGGGAATAGTGGAGGGCAAAGGAGGAGAAAAATCATTGACAGTTCTTGCACAGGACTGTTAGCGCATGAATGCACAGGCAAGGTGTTTGGGAACCTGGGCTGGAGGGCTACGAGGAACCCGCACACCGCTGTCTCTATGTAAGCTGCGTTATAGCAGTGACACCAAGGACCACAATGACTGCCTGTAATTACAATAAATCATGTCTACCTTGCAGAGAATAACATTGCCAGCTTTGTTCTTTGGTGGTTCAAAACCTAAAAATGCATTTATTAGCTTCAAGCGTCTCGTATCTTACCTGAGCAGGAAAAGGATACATTCAGAGTATGTTTCCAAAAGGAATGAACTGCACAAAAATCACAAATGCTGGATAAAACCAGCAAAGCAGGCCTTTTTTACTAGTGAAAACATCAGATATATGTCACGTACAAACTTCTTGTCTAACTTAAATCTAGATCTCGATCAGTGATCAAGTCATCCATATAACCACTAAATTTGATCTTAATTTTTAAAATATGGCAATATAAATACAGACAGCTTCTTCCCAAAAATCTAACACATTAGTGAACTTAATACTTCTATGCTTGAACACAAGTATATTTGAGCTACAATTACACTGTTATTGGTTCTTAAATCAGTTTTACTGCTTTTCCATCTCAAATAGTAAACGACCTACCTCCGTGGTGTCAGGTCTGACTGCTTTTTTCTGCTTGCCTACATTTGCTGTCTTCCTCTGTGACTGGTTACCTAGAAAGAGAAAACCTCCCAAAGGTCAGAAAGGCATCGGATTAAGATAATCTTTCACCAAAAGATGGCCATAAAAGCCCAGTGGCTAAAGACAGGGAGAGACTGTTTTGTTTCTTGAGTGGGTGGTGGCTAGAGGGCAGACACCTAATTGCAAAAGTTCATTCAAAGGAACACCTAGCCTGGGATTTAACAGCCTATTAAGCACTGTATCACCTAGAAAGCAAAGCAGATTCACTAAGTCATTAGTCTTGAGATGTTGTCATATACTAAAAGCCACCTTATTTCTTTAAAGGCTGAAGAGACAGTGTCAAGCCAGTTTGAGTCCAGATTTTTAATTTCTATATGGCATAGGATTTCCGTTGGTGAATTGAAACTGATACTATCAAAGCTGTGCTTTCAGCCTAGGAGCTGACTTCTGTCATAGATAACACAAGGGACTCTGCAAAACACTCTAGAGAATGTCCTGAGAACTAGAATATATACTAAAAATTTCCCCTTCAGTAACCATCATGTTCCCCTATTCTAGTAAACAGGCAAACATGGACAAAGAGAAATTCCTGACCTGAAGAACACAGGCTCTCATCTCTTCCAGAGGTATCTGTTCCTGATCACAGGCTTAATAATCACATGTCCTTAAACAGCGAGACACCAAACTGGCAAATCTTTTCTAGTTCTGGTTTTGTTCTTTCAGTTTATAATTACCATATGGATATTGATGCTCCACACTGATGGATTTTATGGGAAACTGTCCAATGTTGGTTTCAACACTTTGACTTGCAATAGTTCCAGATGAGTTTAAGTGATACAGTATTTAGTCCTTTTCTTACATGACAGATTGGCACGATTTACATACAGTCTATCTATTCAAAGGAGGCAGTTACACAGCAGAACATAGTGTGCCAAGACAGTTCAGAACAAGCTGATGTGTATCTCTACAGCACAACAGTGTCCCAGATAGGAGCAAGATCCTAAAGACCACAGAGCTGTCTTAGTGTATCATTTGATAACGAGCCTAACAGCAGCACCAACGTACATACACTGTTTCCAGTGCTCACTTATCCAGTACTAGATGCTGTCTCCTTACAGCACACTATTCCAGGCACTTACACAGCAGGCTGGAGCTACACAAGCAGGGCTATACCCATTGCCTCACTTACCAGTAGTAGCAGCAGTAGCTGTTGTTTTCAGCATCTGCCTAGCTGCAGAGGAGGCTGCTCGGGTGATTCTTACATTTGAGGCTGTCTGGACTGCAGGCTGCAACGCTGTAAGAAATATTCATTCCAGAGATTTCAAGCTTAATAAGGAGCTGCACTCAAGTAACATAACTGAGCGTTTACCTTTCGTAGAAATCAGAGAAGTCCACTAGCCATTATCAGTTGCATCAGTTTCCCAGAATCAATAGGGTTTGGGCTTTTTTTTTGTCAGTTCAGTGCAAGCAGTGCTAAACATGGACAGCACAGCTCGGCCTTGGCATCAAGGCAACGCTATGAAGGATCTCGATTGAAGAGGTTTTTGTTGCACAGTATTACCTCCAGGACCATCAAGGTCCCAGTGCGCTAGATGCCGTGCACAAAGTTTAAGGAACCCTTCTCAATGTTCCCTGCAATCAGAGTCAACATCAGCCCCAATTTACAGATGAAGCTTTCTAGACTACTAACTTGTCGTGGTTATTTGCACAGCTGGAAGCTTAAGCAAACCATCTGGCTAACAAAGTGATGCCCTGGTCAGTATATGAAAGCATTCTAAGGTCTGAATTCAATGTAATCTAACAATGTGTTCTTAAGACGAATTGCCCCTGAAATATTTTATAGAAGATGACAAGTTCATGCACTGTATTACCCATGTTAATCATCTTCATCTTTCTATTTCAGTACTGTTTCTAATATCCTTCGAGAATGATAGCATTCATTTGCACAGAAGAATTTCACAGGAGCTCTTTATTTCATACCCTCCCTTTCTACATCTGCCTGAAACCCAGTAGCCCCACTTGGTTACTGTTAAAGCCATTCGTGTTAATGTCAAGCTGCAGCTCTGTGGAAGCTAGAGTGACAAGCTGGGGAAATAATTACTAAATAACCATAACATTTGATGTATCCAAACATTCACTTCCCTAACATTTTTATACTGTGTTTAAATACATACAACGCATATTCTTCTTTCAGCACAAAAGGAATAGTCAAGTCTGGCGGATGACAACTTTTCAAAAATGAAATGTTTTAATTGTTATCTCAAACACTAATAATGGATCTTTTCAGTATTCACCGAAGGCAGTATTGAAATTTATTTAAATAAACGCCTGCCGCTTGCTGGTTGAATTAAATTAATGATGCAAAAGTCATTTCACTCTGAATTACTGAGTATCTTGCTTTAACATCAATGTTCCACATGACTTAGCCTTATCTACTTAAGGCATGGACATCACTGTGCTACCAGGAAGAATTTCTAAGCAAAAGTATTCTACTCCCTTAAAGGTGGCATGGGTTGGGTTTGTTGCTGTTATTGTTTTTCTTAAGGAATTTACTTAATTGTCACATAGAAAGCGACGGATACAGAAGCAGCTGTTGTAAAACAGGTAAACATAAGATTGTACTCGTTCATGGAAGAAGACCATCACACTTTTACTCAGTTGCACTAGCGTGCATCAGAAGTTTGGGCTCTCGTCTCCAACATCACATGCCAACGGGCTTTTACCAGGCTATCCTTTTCCAAACCTCTTTCAACGCCGATTTACACAAGCGGTTTCATTGAGAGACAACAGACAACAGCGTATCTGCTGTATAGACATGAGAAAGAGCTCACCGAAAATATTTACACCTCATACAACCAGCTCTTTTTCAGGCTACCCACAATACTAAGGAAAACTCACACTTTACTTGTGTTAGCTATTCCTCTTTCCAGGTGAGGTCACTTGCTCTTCTATTATGGCAGCAGCTACATGTGACAGTCTTCACAGAGACAAACAGAAAACTCTGCACAGCTCCAGATGCTCGGGCAGCTGGCAGTCACGCAATTCTGCCTCCAGAACCTCTTTCTTCTCCCTCTCCTAGGGTGCATAATCAGTAACCAGGACAGCCAGTGCCCTGCATTCCATTTCCCCCAACCTACAGAGGCAACAAGTACCTGCGATACCTAGAGCCACACACTTCACTGCCTGCCGGCTCTGCCCTTGTCATAGAGTTGGTAGGAACGGCTGTCCTGAAAACTCACTTCCTACACCCAAAAATGTACACCAGATCCCGTCTAAAGATGTTCCTTGTCTCCCCCCATAATGTCACAACTACTAATTCGGAAAAAATCCCCACCCAGCAGCATCCTCTCAGATTCAGATGTAGGGATGATAATACTTTCATACCTTTCCCTTTTTCAGCTGCTTTGTCTGTACCCATCTGTTTACGCCCTGCTAGCGTAGGGCGCACACCATGCCCGTTGGCACAGACCTACAAAAGAAATGAGGTTTTTTTCGTGAAGTATCAGATTTCCAGGAATTAAACAGCCTAATTTCTTTCCTCATCTTTCTATCCTAGGCATCAGTACAAATAGTTTGGCACACAGGGCTTTAAAAAGTGAAGAGAAATTAAGGATAACTAAAATAGCTCAGTTTAGACATGTGTTAACGTGCATTATCCAGCTAATTATGAATTTGTCAGAAAAAGAATGAAAAAATACTTAAACAGTTTCAGTTTACTATGAAACTAGGTGCCAATTACTGCCACATCTTAGTACATATTACGTGTTTTAAAAAAGTTTTCAGGGAAAAAAAAATAATCAATATTAACTCAGTTGTCCCTTTGTAAAGTTATGACTGGAAATCCTTCAAATGCATTAAAGTTCCGTAAGGCAAGATTGCTGGATTTGAAAATATAGCTTCTTTTACGGATCACTGCTGGTGAAATTGCTCAACAAAACCTACTTTTTTTATACAAGTAATAGCAAAGGGACTGCCAAGACTCACAGTAAAAACATGCCAACATGGAAATGATTTTTGAATGAAGAATGAACCGACTCTATAATCTGCATTCAGGACAGACCTTCTGCATTCAAGGGAGATGCTCTGGTTCCCCAAGCCAAAACCAAAGCATGTAGTAACTTCAGCCTCACTACTACCGCCGCACACATTTGCAGTCCCTGCTGACGACAATATTTTGTATTAAAACCTGATGCAGACGATCTGTGCACTTTGTTTGCACTGACCTAATCAAACTCTCTGTAGCTCAGCTCAGCACAGCGTCGTCTTTCAGCTTGCTGAAAGCTTTTCTGATCTAATTTGTCTCTCTCACCAAGACAATCACAGAGACAGCATTCGACTTGTAGGCGTACAACCCCGAGTTACGGTCTGAAGGATAACTGCATCCTTTTGTCTAAATTTATCTGCTGAAGTTTATATAAAAAACAAACCGTAGAGGGCTTAGGTGCAGCTGGGATCACCGCTTTTTCCTCTTGGTTCTTAGCCTTTGATCGCGTAATCCTCCCGGAGAAAGCAGGAGGTGCCTGGAAACATCCCCAAGGAAACAAGAGTTAACATACTCCTTTCCCCACCCCCAGCGCTGTTAGAGTGGGCAAGAAGCCTAACTGTGAACAGCAACACGTCCATGCAAAAGGGGTAAAGTGTGTAATCTGAAAAACTTTCAAAGTTAAGTGGACTGAATCGGAAGAAGTTACCAGTTCTAGAGCAGCTGAGATGAATCATTCCAGTTTTTGAACTGAGAACACAGCCATAAATACAAATATCAACATATCACTAGCACTGTTTCCAGCTTTATTTAATAAAAAGAGCCAAATTACTCCCTTCTTCCTTATTATAAAGTATTTAAAAACCAAAATGTTTCTTTGGCATAACATACCTACATTTGTATACAAATTTTAATGTAGTACACTACATACACTTCATGTAGATATTTAATATTACTCTTATTACCTTCTCTCTTGGCTTCACTGTCACTGGATCTTCAAGAGAAAGAAACCCAGGCACAGTTGGTCTGTATAACCCAACTTTAAACACACCCTTTTTCGCTTTCTCTCTCTGCTCTCTCAGTTTCCGAAGTTCCTTTTCTTCTTTATAGCGCTGGAGCATTTCCTTGCGCTCATTCATCTGCTTGGTGGCTGCACTGGTCGGTCGCTCTGAAGCAAAGACGGAAGACAGACACATTACAAAATCCTGGAAATGTTTGAGCCAACAATAAGCAAGACAAAATTTCAAAAAAAAGCTTTTCCAAGCTAGAAGAGGAACGTACTAAGTCAAAGAGCAGAAGACTGTCTGGAATCTGTGCTGCAAGTTTCAATTAAAGTCTTACAATGCAAATACACGGGATCTATCTTGCTAAAAGCTTGAATCCTTGTCGTTGTTTTAACCCTTCCCACCAAAAGGGTATTCAGCAGTAAATTTCAACTTACAACTACACCTCCCCAGCTCTGCACCTGAGGGACACTGTAAATTCATAGCCATGTTGCAGCGTGCAGGCTGCTCCTGCCAGGTTAAAGCGTTACCTTTAATACTAGTAACCTCGCAGGAACAGCCTGTACGCTATAAAACTGCTCACTTAGTTTATTTGTACCAGCTTCTCTATTCACACACTTGTAAAGTCATTGAAAGTTGAGGGTTAGGTCAGCTTTAGATACCAAAGTCTGCCTCAGGCTGAGAATAAATGAGGCGGAAGTTATATGAACGAACAAAACCTCAAAGTGATGCCAAACTCGAATTACATGTTTATCAGAAAAATAATAAAGTTCAAATGTATTGAAGATAATCAAGATATAAATCTATTAAATTTTATATTTGACATAATTCCATAGGGAGTGCACTCCCTCCTCCAACAACCTTCTGCTATCAAAATACCGAAAGTGTAAATATTTCTAAAGAAATCTGTTAATGTTTTTAAAGATTAACTTAATTCCTTGCACCACAAGCATCCCGGAGAGGCAGGAAGGGAGAATTCTGTATGTTTGCAGGCCCTGTTTTCTGGGAGGAAAGACAAGTCATCAAAACCTAGCAGTTTTAAAAATAAAATTATACTATGCATTTATAATTATATATACTGAATTATGATATACAATTACCCATTTCCAAGCATACTTTAAGCACCTGACAGACACCAGTTATATGTTAGACGAGAGTTTTAGATCAGTTTTTTACTTCTTGAACGACAAAGTAATCATTAAGAGACTTCCCACTGAACATTAATACCAAAATGCGTTCTTCCTTTAGCTGCTGCAGACGAACCGGAGCAAAGCCTCAGTCATACCACTGGAGCAGTGAGGAGAACAAAGCCGTGTTAGGACTTTATTTTCTTCATTTTCTTAAGTGAGGAGAATTGGTAGTCATTGGCTTTTAGATTGCAAACCTTTTCTTCAAATTAAAATGTTGACCACAATGAGGTTCCTGTGACCACGTTACTAAATCTACTTAAAGACATTTTTAACCATTTAGAAAAAGCTTTCTAACAAGTCCTTACTTACTCTGTTTTACACTGCCGTTCTCTTGAGCGCACATTTCACTTGTCTCATTGAGCTGAGAAATGCCCCTCTCTTTGGAGAGCTGGACGTTGACATCCGCCAATCCAAACTGTCTGCCCTTTTCAAACAACTTGTGTCTGTTCTCCTTTTGAAGCATTGATTTCCTGCGGGCAACTTTGGTTCTCAGGGCTTCCGTACTCAAATCCTTTTTGTATCGACTGGCAAACTGGGAGGCAGCCGCCATCTTGACGACCCTAGACAAAAATGATAACGATTCGGAAAAAAGCTGTCATGGTTTGTTTTGCCCTTTTCATTAGAGTTTGCACGTTATGAACAACAAGCCCTAGGTTCTTCGTTCCTGTATGTGTACCAGAGAAAACACAAATGACAATTTCGGTAATGAATCTTCATTATTTCTCTTTATTTTATGCATTCGAGGGGCTAGTTTGTTTGTTTAGCCGTCAACCTGTGTGACACAGAATTAGCAGGGGATGATGTGTCCCTGCCAGGGATGGGCCTGCCTGTTTTCAACTCAGATGTTTTTCACGTTAAGGAGACAAGCAAGTAAATGACAAGGTTGTAGGACAATACTTGGAAACGACATTGCCACTGAGCGTTTAGATTATACCCTATCTGATGGCAAGGCGTTGTTGTCACACAGCAGGCTACTTGGCGCTGTTTCCCAACCGAATTTCCAGGATGCAACTGCTATACAACAGCGTTTATTTCAAGCAGGATTTCTCCCTAGTTTTTTAACCTGATGACTGAACACAAGTGTGTTGGTCTGTACACGCTGTGCTAACAGCAAGGTGAAAAGCTCCATCGCCTGTGTTCCCCTGAAGCCTGTCTTGTCAAGGGTTTTCATGCTTTCTTCCTGGAGAGAGGTCAGGACCACTCCTTGCAATTGGTTTGTCTGCCACCTCAACCAGGGTCTTCCAGAAATCTCATCTTCCATTACTTACAGAAAACAGCTTTACAGTAAGGAGGGTGACACCGCTAAACTAAATACCCAACAGTTATTCATTTATCAGTAAACTGGCCATTTACTGAGGTTCCTCATTTCAAGACAGCAAGCTTTGATCAAGCTAAAGGAATCACCAGGGAACTGGACTGAAAAGATCAGCTTTGACTATGGGTGTAGAGGATTTCTTTTAAGAAAGAAGAAAGAGTTTACTCAATCCCCTCCCCTTCTATTTCCTACCAAAAGCAAACAACTCCAGCAGCCTAACTGAAAAACCCAAATGTCAGAAGAGAGTACCAAAAGAAACAGAAAGAGTACAGAAATAAGTAACAATGTGCTCTGAAACTGTGTATACTTATGGGAAAAGCAAGTAAGGAGAGAATCTGAGCTATTTTAAGGAGGAATACAGACAAAGTCTGTTCGATACCATCACTGCTGGCAGTGGCAGCTCCTTGTGCCTCACTTCACAGCAGTATTTATGTACCAAGTAACTTGCATAGCACCAGCAGTACCTGCACAACCATCTGGAAGTGCTTGGAATAGATACTGGAGATAATGTATGAGTCAGAAAGCTAAATGGGTTTATTTTGTTCCCCCACCCCACCCACCCCCCACACAAAAAAAGCAGGAGAGCAAAATGGTCAATGGCAGTTAAACAAGCGAAGGGGAATAAAAATCAGAACTCAAATCAGAGACTGGATCTCTTCCAGATGTTCCTGAAAGAGATGGTGCATATCAGCACCACCTGATCTGTGAATATCTTAGGTTTCATCCTGCATCTTACATTCCAGAAATTCATTAAAGATGCCAGCTAACTAACAATGATTGCAAATGATCAGACTAACTCTACTGTAGTTCACAGGTCGTATTTGCCTTGCTCTACATTTAAGTGATTAAGGAAAGTTAATTCATGAGCATCTCCAATAACCATCTTTGAACGGCTCTTGTTAGTAACTCCCACGGTATTACAGAAAGCCACAAAGAAAACGGTTAATGGGAATATCTCTCTCCTATCTGCCTCCTAGAAGCAGGCTTTTTAAGCCCAGTGGATGAAAATCATTCCTAAAAGCAGCAGCTAGCATTAAGTCTCTACACTCCTCCTTTGTGGAGGACAAATTCCCTAAATTTACCTTAAACTTGTTCTCTAAGTACAGCAACAGTCCTTTCAGAGTGCACACGCAATTTTTAATTCAGTGCCTTGATAGAAGGGCACATACACTACACCCACAGAATATATATACACGCATTGTTATCTATCAGGCAAGCTTACAGAAAGCTGCATCTGCCTTAAACGGTGATAAACATCTAAAGGATTTTTATGCTCTACCTGCTCTTCGAACAATATGTTCCTAGTTATCGTAGTGTAAGTCCACTCAAGGCCTTCTCCCATGAACAAGCCTCACGAGCAAGTGACCTGTGTTTCAGTAACGCTGCAGAAGAATTCACCTGACGCTTGCAGAAGGCAAATATAATATAAGCAGAGACACAGAGAGCGCTCCCCACACAGGTATTGTCAACTCCCGTCCCAGCAACACAAGAGATCGCCCATGATCTCCGGGGGCTCATTCAAAACGCACGCCATGCCCCATGACCCAAGCACCTCTTGAGGACAAAGCACCCATCTCCTTTTCTCCCCGCGTTCTGGTTTCTGAGCAGCACCTGGCCCGCACAGGAGTCTAAAAGATTAACTGGGATTTAAATCGGCATCCGTTCAAGACTGGTAGCAGGACAGGGGCAAAGGGCTGCCCACCACCTCCCAGCCCCCCGCTT